ACTACACAAAGATCGGGCGATAATACCTCTTCCCGTGTGAAAACCATTTAACACCTCGACACCATGCAGCTGAGTATTGATCTAGAACAAACCTACATCAAGATTGGACAACATGAGTTCAGCATTGCGAGCCTTGAGGAGTGGCTACAAAGAATCCAAGATGAGGTCCAAGGGTTGAAAGCTAGTATACCAGAAGAGAGGAAGCCACAAGAAACTTCTTAACTTCATGGTTTGGAGAATCACAAGACAAGGAGGATACTTGTTTCCCAACAAGTACCTGCAACTCACATTACTAGCCACAATACCTCCATAGTCAAGCTAAATGACTTTAACTAAGCGCTGAGTGGAAGGCAACCCACTATTAGGTATTTTCGTACTTAGTTTTATATTATTTTTAGTGTTAACTTTCGTTTTATTAGTTTCAGAAGAGATGCTACACGATCACTACCTCTATCGACCGATACGATCCTGTCGACATCGCTCGACATAGACCTATCCATGACGATCGATGAAGGCGACTCACCATCGATCGATACGAATTCCGGTCAGATATATCGTTCACAATTTTTGATATCAGTTATACATTATTTATTTATGCCCTAACTCCGACTGGTTATACACTGAGGACAGTGTATGATTTATGTCTGGGGGAGCGGAGATCACTGATGCTACTTTACCTTTTGATCTCATTAAATGTTTTCAAAATTGGTTTTATTGAGTCAAGAAGGGGACAAAGATATTTTAAAATTTTTACTTTTTATCTAACCATTCTTTACCACCATTTTTAGAATTGTTGATTGCAGAAAGTACTATAGATGCTAAAGTGGATCACCGCTCACCTAGGACAACACTTTTCATGATTGTTTAGAAGAACCAAAGCTGATTTCCAATCTAACCTGACATCTATTGCTTGTCTTGGGGTTTGGTATACAAGGGATCGGAATCCTCCTGCAAGTCTGGAAGGTAAAAGTCTTGATAATTTTGGTTTCCTTCACCCCTTCCTTTGGCATTCCAAAAAAAAAAAAAAGATTGAGATGATTTCCTGAGAGGCAGAGGGAGAGGTACATTACCCATGACCCCACTATTCTAATTCAAAGGAATGATCACACATTTTGGAAGCGAGGGAGAGGTAAATTACCCATGACCCCACTATTCGCCTACACTTTGTCAGAAAATGCTACAAAAAGTAGAAAGATTAATAAGGTGAACATTTGTTGTTCATTGGGATTGATATAAAAGAAAAAGAAAAATTTGGGATTCAGAGAAGGGAGATATAGGGAGAAAAGAAACCAGAATGAGAATGCCTGAAACTTGCTTGAGTTGAATCCAAGTGTTACTTGATCGATACTCCCAAGGTAAAGCCTACACTTTTATTTTATGCATAAATGAAATCAGTAGAGGGGATAGACAAACAGGATTGCTAAGTTGATTGACTAGATGAATTTGGTTGCTAAGCTAGGATATGGTATAATGTACTTTTGTAGTTAATAGATATGAGATGTGGCTTGCAACAAAGTAGAGGTGATGATCTTAAGTTAAGATTTGATTGAGTCCCTGCTGTTTTTTTTTTAACTTCTTCCAAAGACTAACTATTGTGTTTGTTTGAGGACAAGTAAAAGGTTTAGTCTGGGGGAGTTGATCTACCATGGTTTTGAGCCACTTTTAACCATGGTATTGAGATGATTTTAGCCACTTTTAACCATGGTATTGAGATGATTTTACAATATATATATATATATATATGTGTGTGTGTGTGTGTGTGTGTGTGTGTGTGTGTGTGTGTGTTTTGGAGTCTCTGTGTGTGTGTGTGTGTGTGTGTGTGTGTGTGTGTGTGTGCGTGCGTGTGTGCGTGTTAGGTATGTTTTCAGGTTCAGGAGCATTTTGGAGTAAAGTGATGATTTAGGTGTCCTTATGGAGCTTAAAGGAGAGTTTTCCCGACATAACTATGAAGATCAGACAACAAGGTAAATATCCAGAGATACATATCGATCGATACACATCATGTGTAATCGATTGACGACGCTTCCGTAGAAGATGACGAATGGAGATACTCCATCGATCGATGTACGCCTTGTACCAAGTGTTCAATCTTCTAATCTTATGAATTTCTATTATTACCTTCATGCTATGAATCACTTAGTCATGTCTGAGTAGATTCACTTTAGATTTGGGGTTCAAATAGTTATGAGGGAGTAGCCCCAACTATAGATTGTTGAGTTGTGATATTCATTATCCTGATGAACCCTAATGCTTACTCTAGAGTAGCTAACTAGAGTATGATCCTGGAATGATTTAACTTGTTAATCATCATCCTGAAATCATTTGGCATAAGCTGAGATCCTCTAGGGACGAACGAGAGCCGTTCTATGATCTTGGTGAACACATATTCAATTCGATCTGAAGCTATATCGATCGATACTCCTATAGAGTAATCGATCGACGTCAACCTATATCATCCGATATCGCTGTCAAAACATCGGTCGATATTGCCGGCAGTCAGATCAATGGACGAGTCTAGATAGCGATTGCTAATAGAATTATCTAAGAGATGAAGTTCTTTAATATCTTGCAAGCAACTTATTAAGACATTTGTAGCATTATAATCCTGATTATCTGAATAGCAACCTTGAATCTAACTACTTTCTCTTATTGTTTAAAACCTAAACCAATTTTCTTGAGCAACTTACCATTGCTCATAACTGCAATTTACTTTTAAACTTACTCAACCTAGCATAATCACTAATGATTATATATTTTTGTTCCTTAGTTCCTTATGGATTCGATCCCTAAGTACTACAATTGAACCTCTTATTTGAGAGAGTAATTCTCTCCTTAGGGTAATTTGAGTGATATCAGTGCTCAAGACTCAAAAATGGATCGGAGCCCTTATCTATTGGACTGGTATGATGACAGACATCAGGCGTTATGTGGCAGCATGTGAGATGTGTCAGCGTCACAATTATTCCACGTTAGCACTAGGGGGACTCCTTCAACCTTTGCCTATACCAACAGCGGTTTGGGAAGACATTTCTCTTTAACTTCATTGAAGGATTGCCAAGGTCAGAAGGGATGAACTCGATACTCGTGGTGGTAGATCGTCTTACTAAGTATGGGCATTTCATCAGTCTTAAGCACCCTTTCACTGCTGTAGAGGTGGCTCTGGTTTTCATTCAGGAGGTGGTCAGATTACACGGGTTCCCTAAGACTATTGTTCTGATCGGGGTAGATTGTTCACAGCCAGTTATGGAGGGAGCTTTTCCGACTTTCAGGAACAGAGTTGTGCTTCTCTACGGCCTACCATCCCCAAACGGACGGGAAAACCGAGGTCACCAACAGAGGATTAGAAACTTATCTGCGTTGCTTTGCAGGGGAAAAACCCCGAACCTGGGCCAAGTACCTGCAGTGGGCAGAATTCAGTTATAACACATCATTTCATTCAACAATTCAGATGTCACCATTCAGAGCGTTGTACGGCAGAGAACCACCGTCCTTGCTCCGCTATGAGAATGGATCGACCAACAACGCTGAGTTAGAAACGTATCTACAGGAACATGATGAGAACTTGGCTCTATTGAGGCAGCAGTTGTTGAAAGCTCAGCAGTCCATGAAGGCGTGTGTTGACAGTCACAAGAGGGAAGTAGAGTTTCAGGTGGGGGATAAAGTGTTCTTAAAGCTTCGTCCCTACAGACAGAAGTCCTTGGTCAGGAGAGTGAATGAGAAACTGTCAGCTCGATTCTATGGGCCTTATGAGGTAGCTGCTAAAGTAGGGAAGGTCGCGTACCGTTTGCACCTACCTTCTGAAGCACGCATTCACCCTACCTTTCACGTGTCTCAGTTGAAGAAAATGGTAGGAGAGGCAGTGGAACCAGCAACCATTCCGCCCCAGCTCACTGAAGAAGGAATGTTAGAGACAATACCCGAGGCTGTGCTAGCGCAGAGAGTTAACAAGAACACTGGACATGAGGAGTTGCTGATTAAGTGGGTAGGATTACCTGAAGCGGGTTGTACGTGAAAGTGGAAGAGTGTGATGCCTAAACAGTTTCCTGATCTTGACCTTGAGGACAAGGTCAATTTGAATGGAGGGAGTAATGTTACATATGAGACCTTGAGGTCACCCATACTTTACCAGTATGAGAGGAGAGCCCATAAGAAAGGCCCGTCTGGAGAGGGTCATCAAGAGAAGGTGAGAGGAGAAGAACACGTGAAGGGAGAGCACATGAAAGGATAAGGAAGTGAGGAGGAATCTTCGTAGCAACGGGCCTCAACACACACACAGGAAATATTAGTGACGTGGCTGCTGTTTTATGGCGTTTACCTTTATAAAAGTAGTGAGGAATAAGAAGTTGGTTATCGAGAGAGAGGATCGATCTTTTGTGAGAGGAGAGAGAGTATTCCTTGTAAAAACTATAAACCTTTGTATTTGCATTTTCTTGTTATAGAAGGAATATTATTATCTTTCTTTACAAGTCTTTTCTTTACAAGTCTGAGCTTTAACAACTTGATCGTAACAAACCAGTCCTCTGTTCCAACATCAGTTGCAAAGATTGAGTTGCCTATAGCTATAAGATGATTTAAGAAAACAAGAAAGTGACAGGAGAAACGGTCTGCTGCGGAAGCAACCAAAGGTGAAGTTTATGCGTAGATGTTTGTTGTGTGAAATGTCTACATTAAGTAGTCATCCGACCGACTGCACATTACTAAAACAAACACAAACTTAGCACTCATTATTGCCTCGAACCATTCATTTTACATTTATCCTTTTTTTCTTTGTGGTTCCTGTGAACAATTCAAAGGTTTTAAGTACATTGTTCCTCAGTATTTGAAGTTCAGGGATTGGAATTTTAAAGGAAGTGACTCCTTCAATGCCTATTAAAAAGAGGCAAAATAAGAGTATAATACCACATCACTGGGTCTTAGTTTTGCATCGCTCTCAAGTGTTCTCCCATTCTTTGTGCTCAAAAGATTTATACCATTATACTTGGTATGAGGCTCTTCTCATCTTACTTCAGTTGGGAAGCTGAATCCCTCTTAACTTCAAGGCTTGAGCCCTCTTTGAGTGCCATTTGAGATTCTTTCTCCATTCCTAGTAAGGCAAGAGAAACAGATTGGAGATAGGACGACACATGCCACAGGGGAGAGATCACTTGTGCTTGAATTGCATCATCTAAAGCTTCTTTTGGCATGTCACTCATTAGGTAACTCAGGCTACGGCGTGCACAGACTGTTGGAGATATCATTCCTCCATCTATGAACTGTGGAGATTGTGAAGAAAAACAACCACATCATCAAGGTTAATGCTCTCTTTGTTCCCACAAGTGTGGATGCTTAGGTGCAAAAATAAACAAAACAAAACATTAACCCGACCTGCGTGTAACACTCAATGGCCTCTCTAAAGTCTTTCTGCTTGAAAGCCACATCACCCTTCTTCTTCGAGTTCAGAGACTCTTGCATCTGGTCTGTCCACAATTGAAACGAGAGCTGCATTTCCAAAACATTGTAACACAACACCATCAAGAACCAATCAAACCCGCAGAATATTAAATCTATACACACGTTTCGAACCAGTCAAATCACTTGTTTCTTTTCATATCTGGAAACATACCTCGTTGGTTATACCCTCGTCGTCTTTGTATCCAAGTTGATCCAAGATCTCAAGCATAGCGGTCAGATCCCTTCTTGAACAAGCCTCACCAAGATGGGACAGAGGAGACACCGAACCACTGTGGGGCAGACCCATAAGAACATGGGATGGGACCTGCAATGTTCAATACAGTATTACAACTATCTGAGTCAACACACGGAAACTTGGTAATATATGAAATGAAACCTCTGTGTCCTTCTGAAGAGGTGTCAGGGCAGTGACCAAAGATTTTGGGTTTGGCCTCTCACGGGCTTCGTACTGAAGACAACGAGAAGCAAGTCGTACTAGCTCTGTACCATCGCTGTCAGAGAATTGCCCATCTAGGCAAGAATCAGTTAGCGTCTGGAGATTCCGGTCTCTGATCAGATCAAGGGCCTACATACACCAGACTAAAAGATATCAATCTTCACCTTCATATGGCAAACTTATTTTTGGGCTAAAAAGGACTTACATGGCTAGGAGGTATATGTTTTCCGCTGAGAAGATCAAGCAGAAGAGTGCCAAAGCTGTATATCACACTCTCTGGAGTAATTCTTCCTGCACACAAACACAGAAGGTGTAACTTAATCTTAAACCATATCAATATATTGGTTCAAAAATAAAATGATGATGTACCAGTTCGTAGATATTCAGGAGGGGTGAAAGCAAGATTTGTGCTGTAACTTTTGCCATCCCGACTGTTCTTCATCAAGCCGAAAGTAGAAAGTCTTGGATTGCAATCCTTAAAAAAGACCCTTAAGGCGTCAGAGAATGAATAGAAACATGGACAGAAGAGCTATAGTCAATAATAAAAATACCTCATCAAATAAAACCCGGTAGGCATTGAGGTCATGATAAAGAATACGGCCTTTGTCAGTGCAGTATTCAAGAGCTTGTGCTAGGTATAAAACAACTCGTAACCTCATTGTCCATTTCATAGGTTGCGTTTCCCCTGGTTTGCATAAAAGCACACACTTAGACTCTAACATCATCTAAACAAGATTTAGTTACATCAAATAGTGAGTCTTACAATGAAAAAGGTGTTTGGCTAAGGTTTCATTGGGCATAAACTCTGCAACAAGCAACCTCTCGTCACCTTCACAGCAACAGCCGAGTAAATTGGCCATTCTCTCACTCCGCAGCTGCCCAACCGACCTCGCTTCCTCCTGCACAATGAGAGAACACATTCATTATTAAAGAGAATGAAAAAAAAAAAGAGTTTATATAGAATCCAGTGACACATACTAGGAACTGTCTTGCATCAGGCCAGGCCATTCTGGTGAAACGCTTGACAGCAATCTTCTTTTGGTTGTCGAGTTTGCCTTTATAGACGACATTAGGAGCCTTTTCTCCATGCTCAGATACAATATACTCCACAGCAAAACCACAAGTGGCCGACTTAAGCTGTTCTAGTGTGTACTCCCGGAAGACAGGCACATCACTCTTCTCTCCATTTTCTGTATCTAAAATAAATTAAGAAAAACCCCATCATTCCTAATCTTCTATAAGATCCAAGTGGGATAAAAACAGGTCAACTAACCAACACACGGAGCTTCAACAACAGCTGTCTTGTGTGATGATTTCCGACCTAGGTTAGAGCATTGACCTCCCATCTATAACAAACTCTCACAAAAATCGATTTTTTTCTTCTGGTTTCAGCCGAAATGAAATATTTGTTTGTTTCAATCAGAGGAACTGCAATAAAAATTGCAGAGCCAAAATCCGTTTCTTATTCATTCACTGAAGTAGTAAAAAAAACAATCACAACAAGAACAAATGGAAAAAGAAAAAGAAAAAAAGTTGTACCTTGTTAACTCTGTGGACTCTAGTGAGTCAACTCGAGTGCGTTATAGTAAATTACCAGCAAAATCTCAAAGATGCCTACTCCAAGCAAAACACAAAAACAAGAATGAGGTCGAAAAAAATGAAGAAGGGAATTAATAACCCCTAACTTGAGTGCAAACCGAAATTGTTGAAACCAGCAGGGATAATCATTAAGATAAATAAGTAGATCAGATCACAAGTTTATATATACATCTGTAAATCCACCAAAGGAATTATTATTTATTTGTTCGGAAACAACAACAAGACAGAGAATGAAATACTCCATAGAATAATGCCCAAAATTAATTTTACCGACAACTGGATCAAATTATTTTAATGGTGAGAGACTCAGACATGGCAACCAAAGAATCTGTCGCCACTAACACTACTACATAACCCAATTAATACAAATTTTTATATATTTAAAGATTTTCTCAAAAAATAGCACCGCCTGTTGGAATCAAGTGGTCGTTGTTGTTCATAGAACTGCTTCCACTTTCCCGTTGCCGTAATCAGTAATACTCTTTCTAACGGACTTTTTATAATTAAACAAAGGAAACAAGGTTGATTCGCTATGTGTCAAGCAAGGCCCATAGGCTTTTATGGGCCTCTGGTTCAGCTTAAATTAAACCGGGTTTGACCGGTTATTATAGGGTTAACAATGATGGTTTGGGGTTGCGAATTGGAGCTAGCTGAAGAGTTTGTCAGGATCACGGGGGCATTTCGGAAATTGGTTTAGTTATGGGCCTCTGGTTCTTGTTCAGCTTAAATCAAACCGGGTCTGACCGGTTGTTATAAGGTTAACGACGATGGTTTGAGGTTGCCAATTAGAGCTAGTTGAAGAGTTTGTCAGGATCACCAATGCATTCCGGATATTGCTTTAGTTTTGGTCGGTTTTTCTTTTGATGATGGGTAGTTCGAATATGAGGTTATGGGAGATATGGTTCGAATAGTTTTGAGTTTGGTTCATATCAGTTTGAATTGTTTTGAGCTGGTTTGGTTATCAGGACTTAGAAACGAAAAAACTAATTAATGTTCCAATTTGGTATGGTTATTTGATGATTTAGGCCTCGATTGGTACGGCAAATGCTGCAAAAGCTGTATACTTGCATTAAAGTTCTTAATAAATTGATTGGCAGAGCAGTAACAGTATACAATTTTAAAATTATAATAATAGTGCGTATAATAATATATTTAATACTTATATATTTATAATATATATTAATAATATATTTGTTATTAAAAATAATGAATCTCATTCATTATATAAATTATATTTAAAAACGTAAAATTTATTTTTAAAATATTAAATTATTTTTGGATATAAACATATTTTAATATTATTAAATAAATAAATAAATAATATATAATTTATATAAATTATTATTTATTTATTTATTGGTGGACGAATAAATGATTTATAAATAAAATTATCATAAAAATTAATATATGACATATAATTTAGTTAGTAGTGTCTAGATAATATCTTTATATCTATAATATATAAATATATAATATGTTATGTTTGTTATTAAAAATAATAAAGAACATCCGTAATTATATAAATTATATTATACTTTAAATGAGAAATATTTTTCTTTTAAAAAATAAAAAAAATCACATTTTTATTCTTATTATTTGAACTGTCAATTTATTTTTTTATTATAAAAATATTTTTTATATCATTAAACAAAAATAAATTAATTTTATATAATTATTTTTAAGTTTTTTTATATTCTATCTGCAAATGCTTTTCCAAAAACTCTATATGAAAGCATTGAACAAAGAACATTAGCATTTAGTAAATGTTTTTCTAAATGCTTTTTTGACAAATGTTGATTGAATAATAAAGAGCATAATGCTTATGGTAATGTTCTACCAATCAAACCCTTAGACAAAAACCTCGATAGTTTCTAATATTTTGGACAAAAAAATATCTAGATAATTTAGATAATTCAGTTTTTGAATACTTTTAAATGTTTTAGGAAAATTTTAAATTATACTTAGATATATAATTAATTTATGTATATATAGTTAATATATATATATATATATATATATATATATTTGAATACCCATTCAGTTAGGATAATAAATTTAGAAACCATATTAGGAAATTTTAATCTTTTTTTTTTTTTTTGACATCAAATAAACAAAACACAGACTCATCTAGACTCTGTAAACCAAGCGGGTAGCCCGGTATCCATGTGAACAACGAAAGACGATTGTTTCCTTGCACTACGTGCTAGACTGTCCGCCCTTGAATTCAAAGTTCTTGATACATGGATGATTGTTGAGCTGTTGAAACTCCTTCGAAGCGTCGTGATATCCTCCAAATAGCTTGCAAAAGCCGGCCATTCATCTGGTTCCGAAACCATCTTCACCAATTGAGAACAATCTGTTGCAAATGTAACACAATATTGACGCAAATTCCTCATACTTTCCATTGCCCATATAAGTGCTTCCATCTCCGAATGTAGAGGTGAAAGACTTGCCCTGACATTTCGTGCTCCCATTAAACCTTCAAAACCTTCGAGAGTACTATACTAACCCTGTCCATCAAACTCATCCTTATCCTTCCATGAAGCATCAATAAAACACCAGCGCCCAGGAATGGTCGGTAAAGTGATTCCTCTCTCTGATTGATTCGTGTCCGGAATTATTTTTAGTTGAGCCTCCTTCCATAGAATGGACTCAGTCTCAGCAAGAGAAAGTGTCTCTTTCGGATCAACATCCAAATTGCTAAAGCATTTACCATTTCGCCCTTTCCAGATGTACCACAATATCCATGCAAATTGATGATCTTCCATCTTCGGAATTACTCTCCAGAACAAATGATCCATATTCGTAAACAGCGAATCGGTAGGAAAAGTGCGTGGGTTCAAAGGAATCTTTGACAAGGCCCAAACTTGCCTTGCTGGTGGACACTCAAAGAAAACATGATTCGTCGATTCCTCCGAAGCACCACATCTGTCACAATATATGTCACCCTTTAAACCCCGTGCCTGTAAATTCTTCTTAACCGCAATACATCCCGAAAGCAGTTGCCATAAAAAATGTTTCATCTTTGGAGGACAGTTTACCTTCCAACAATATGCTTTCAAAGAATCCACTGTAGGCCCTGTAAATATTGTCGGCTTCTCCTTATCCGGGTATACTCTTTGGACTTGATATCCTGATTTAACAGTATATTTTCCGTTCTTGGTGAAATGCCATCCATCCCTATCATCAAAGGTTTTCCTACTCAGGGGAATGCTACCTATTATCTTCGCATCCTGAGGTTCTACCAGAGCCCGAATAATCTCCATATTCCAAGTACGCGTCTCTGTGTTGATGAGAGAAGCAACAGTGATAGAGTCGTCTACAAATTCCGAATTACCAGGTTGTTGATTTGCTTTGCTGGTCTCGGGCGAGTGGTTGGGAGCCATGGATCCTTCCATACTGAGATAGATGACCCAGATCCCACCCGTTTGATAAGTCCTTTATTAACCAGAGATCTAGCTGAAATCATACTCCTCCATCCATATGACGGGGAGTATGATCGGATCGGTTCCAGGGGTGACGCATTCCTATAGTACCGACCTTTGAAAACACGAGAAAACAAGGTATTTGGTTTCTCAATAAAGCGCCAAAGTTGTTTACCTAACATTGCTGTGTTAAAATCTTCAAGATCTTTAAAACCCAAACCGCCTGCCTCTTTGTCAAGACATAATTTATCCCATGTCTTCCAATGCAATCCTCTTGTACTACCCCCCGGACTCCACCAGAATTGTGATACCGCACTCGTTAGCTTATTTGTAGTAGCCTTGGGAAGCCTATAGCATGACATCACATGATTGGGTAACGCCGTGACCACTGATTTAATAATCACCTCTTTGCCTCCCTTTGTAAAAAATCGAAAAGTCCATCCATTAACCCTTTTGTTTAACCTTTCCTGCACAAATCCAAAAACCTGAATTTTAGACCCACCCAGACTCTCTGGAAGACCTAGGTAAGATCCCATGCCCCCTATATTCTGGATCCCTAGAATATCCCTGAGTTCTTGTCTTATGCCTTCCCCAATCCTATGTCCAAATTGAATTGATGACTTCTGAAAATTTATTAATTGACCCGAGACAGCCTCGTAGTCCTTAAGGATGGTAAGTATAGTATGACACTCCTCTGGTTGTGCCTTACAAAAGAAAAGACTATCATCCGCAAATAGAAGATGGGAGATCGCCGGGCATGATCTCGCAACCTTCATCCCAGTCAAAAGCTTTTGTTGCTCCGCCTTCTTAATATTAGAAATTAGAGCCTCCGTACACAGAATAAATAAATAAGGCGACAAAGGGTCCCCCTGTCGTAAACCTCTCTGCGGAATAATTGATCCTTTAGGTTGACCATTGATCAGTACTCGATAGCGGACCGACGAAATACACGCCATCGCTTGTCCAATGAGGATTGAAACCCATCTTGTTTAACAAAGCTTGAATAAAATCCCATTCCACTCTATCATAAGCTTTACTCATATCAGTTTTTATCGCCATAAATTTCCCTTGACAAGACTTATTAGCCCTCAACCCGTGAAACATCTCCTGAGCAATTAAAATGTTATCCGATATTAACCTTCCTGGGACAAAAGCCGACTGTGTTTCCGATATAAGCCTAGGCAAACAAGTTTTCAACCGCTGACACAACACCTTTGATATAATCTTATATCCTACATTGCATAGGCTTATTGGTCGAAGCTCCGTCATCCTCGTCGGTCTCTCTGTTTTAGGGATCATACAAATATTTGTAATATTTAAACGATCATCCAAAACGCCGGAGACCAGAAAAGTATTCACCATCTGTACCAAGTCCTTTTTAATAATATGCCAGGAGTGTTGGAAAAAAAGCGCAGTCATTCCATCTGGTCCTGGTGCCTTCTCGGGGTGCATCATAAACAACGCTTGGCGAATCTCTTCCTCAGTAGCCAGTCTCAACAATCTTTGGTTCATTTGAGGAGTAATCGTCGAAGGAACCTCGTCGAGGAAGTTATCAAACTCAGAGGGAGATGTAGAAGTAAACAAATCATTGAAATAATCCACCGCTACTTGTTCCACCCCACTCTCCTCTGTTATCCAGTTGTCATCATTATCATACAAACCCACTATCCGATTACGGACTCTTCGTTGTCTAGTTAAAGCATGATAGAATTTAGTATTTAGATCACCCGAAGAGTACCACAAATTGCGACTCTTTTGGTACCAATAATCCTCCTCATCCTTATATGCATCCTGTAACTTCCGAGACACTTCCAATATATCCTCTTGTGTTCTATTATCATCCATTTGTACCTCTTCCATAGCTTTTTGGAGATCCTGAATTTTGTCCTTCCCATATGGTGGGTTATTTTTCCTCCACCGTGCTATCTCGTGCCGACAATTACTAATCTTGGATACCAAATCATCAACGGGACCATCTTGTCCTATCGTCCAGCCGGCAATAATAGAGTCTATGAGGCCTTCCTGTCCAATCCATCTCTTATCAAATCGAAATTGTCCCCTCCTTTTGTATATTTTGTCCTCCATATATGCAACTACTGGGCGATGATCTGATCCCACCAGGAAATTTTAATCTAATTTCAGTTATTCAGTTTGGATGGTTCTTAGAATCATATAGGTTTAAATGTTCAGAATCTAATTGAACCTGCTTTCTATCGTTTTCGTCGTCTTCCTCTGTTTTAAGCTCCTTCATATCTCTATAATATTATTTGGAAAGTAAATTTTTTCTTATCTTTTTCACATTAATTCTAACAACGATCAATTACAAAGTTATCTTTAATGATTTAATTGTTACCTAATTACCATTATTAGAAATTATATTATTTTCTGTACTTGATAATTTTTTAATTCGATTTTAATTTAGTTTTTCTTTTACAAATTCACACAAGTAATAAAAAGGCATAAATAAGAAAAAATAAATAACTATGAAATATACATATTATCTCAAAAGTTATAATATATTGATTTATATAAAAATCACAATTTAATAAAAGCCGACAAAAAAAACCATTAAGGTGTTGATGTGTAAAAATAACTTTTAGAAAATCATTAGGAACTTAAATAAAAATAAAATATCTTTTAAATACATAAAATTATTATCTAATATCATATTTTCAAAACAATATATCTTATGATTAACTTAAAACCATATATATAATTCAAAATGTGAGATTTAAATAAGAAAAAATTATATTTTCTCATAAATGTATTTTTATAATATTATTAGAAAAGGAATAAATTATTTTTATCATTTATTTTTGATCAAATTATTAAGAAAGGTAATAGAAATAGAAATATTTTAATACATTATCTTATTATCTAATATCATATTTTCAAAACAATATTTATATCTTATGATTATCTTAAAACTAAAATTATAATTCAAAAGATGTGACTATTATTAAAATAAAATTATAAATAAACATATTTGTATCATATAAGTAGAAAAGAAATAAAAATATTTCAAAGGACAATTGACCAAAATAGCATTTTTGAAGTTTTTATCTCCAAAATAGCATCGAAAGGGAAAAGTCACAAAAATGACATTTAACGAGTAAAATATTTTTAATACCCTCGCTATAAATTAATACTAACTCTATACATTACTATCAACACTAAACCCTAAACCCTAAAAATACTAACTCTACACTTTCAACTCTAAACTCAAAACCCTAAACCTTTCTAAATTCTAAACCATCAACAAGGAACCCTAAACCCTAAGAAAATTCCCAGTAAAAAATTATCTTAAATCGTCAACCCCAATTCTAAACCCTAAAACCTAAAACCTAAACCCTAAACCATAGAAATAAACTCTAAACCCTAAAACCTAAGCCCTAAATCACAATTCTAACTTTAAACCCTAAACATTCAAATCTAAACCCTAAAACATTAACCCTAAACCTTAATTCTAAATCCTAAACCTGAATTCTAAACCCAAAATCATCAACACATAACCCTAAACCCTAAAAATAAACTCAAAACCCTTAACCCTATAAAATTACCCTAAACCCTAAATCTTCAACTCTAAACTCTAAAACATAAACGCTAAATCCTAAACTTCAATTATAAACCCTAAACCCTAAAACCTCAACTTTAAACGTACTATCAACACTAAACCTTAAACAATAAAAGTAAAATATAAATCCTAAACCACAATTCTAAACCCTTAACCATCAACACTAGAATCCTAAACCCTAAAAAATAAACTCTAAACTCCAAACCCTAAACTCTAACCCTCAATTCTAAACCCTAAAACATCAACACTGAACCTTAAACCCTATAAATAAATTCTAAATATTTAACACTAAAAAATTTACCCTAAACCTCAATTCCAAACCCTAAACCCTAAAACCTAGCCTCTAAACTTTACTATCAACACTAAACCCTAAACAATAAAAGTAAACTAAAAACCCTAAAACCTAAACACTAAACCACAATTCTAAACCCTAAACCCAAAACCGTAAACCCTAAACCATAAAAAAATTACCTTAAATCCTAAACCCTAAACCTTCAACCCTAAACTCTAACCTAAACCCTAAACCCCAAACCCTAAAAAAATCAACCCTGAACCCAAACCCCTAAAACATGAACTTTTAGCCATAAACCCTAAAACATCAACTCTAAACCCTAAACCTTAAAGTATATCATGAAGATTAATATATTATTTGAAAGTCCATCATGTACACGCTCATGGCTTTCCAAATTTTATAATACATTATCTTCAATCCGGAAACTCATCCTAAACACGCTCAAGGCTTTCCAAATTTTAGAATACATTATTCTGAAGATTAATATACTAAACTCTAAACCCTAAAACATCAACTCTAAATCCTAAACCTTAAAATTTAAAGCCTAAACCCTAAAAAATTTACCTTAAATCCTAAAACCTAAACCTTCAACCCTAAACTCTAGACCTAAACTCCAAACCCTAAAAAAATCAACCCTAAACCCAAACCCCTAAAACATGAGTTTTAAGCCATAAACCCTAAAACATGAGTTTTAAAACAGAGTATGAAGAGAGGGATTAACTCTCTTTAGTTTAAAATTGTGGATTACACTTAGTTTAAATAGTCAATCTTATATATTAAAGTTAGCTTTTCTTCTTCATAGGGGGCAAAAAATATCATGTGTCACCTCCTTGAAGTTTAAGAAATTATTTGTTGAATTTTAGAAAAAAAATTATATTATTGGTAAAATGCATATTTGTTTTGAGTTTTTATTGTTGTAGATTGTGTTTAAACTTTCAGATTATAAAAATCCTTTTATATTATAGGTTTGTTTGTCATCTTCATTGGAGATCCCTAGATCAGCCGACGAGGGTTGTAGATATCAAAATAAATTATCAACTCTCCGTAACATCTCGACGCACGCTTAATTCACACCTTCTTTCCTCATGTTTTTATAAGTGATTAACCCACTCTGGATCTTGAAACCACCTTATCGCATCCCAAAAAGAACCACGTAGAGGAGGTGTGAGTATATATATATATATATATATATATATCCCTTTTACATACATGAGCAACACAGCTTCAACGAGCATTAGAAGAAAAATTTGTTAAACCTTCCGATTACTACAATGGTGATTTATACCATCCTCGCCGATTTGAAAGTCAGATGCTGCTCCAATACCACCGAGATTCACTTTCTGAGGTTTTGGGAGGCTAGGAATGTGAGGAAAGCCGGTGAGCTCATGAGTCTAGACATGCTCCTCATCGACGAGAATGTAAACATCTCCTTTCCGATTAATACTGTTGACGATTGATTCCATTATGATTGTCTAAAAAAATAATTTGTCCTTTCCAACAGTCAACGGTTATTCAAAGTTCTGTTAATGCGATTTATTTATTGGATTTAAATAGTTTATGAATATTTTCCTTATTTTTATAATAAAAACATAACAAAAAAAAATAATTAAATTAATTAAAAAATTTACAAGCATGTGCTTTCTAACAAGAACAACATAAGCAAATATTAAAAATTAATTATTTTCAGTTATCAATAAATTTATTAAATATAATTCATTTTAAATATAATTTTTATGATTTTTAATTTGTTCACCCGCTCGTAGGGCGGACTTAACTCTAGTAGAAGATAAAGTTGTAGATAATTCAAAATTTGAATGTGTGGCTGAGAAGGACACTAAGAGAGCGTGTGTAACGGCTAAAAGGAAAGATAATAACTTGGTGAAGTGATTTTCAGTTGGCTTAGACTTGACCATAGTCAGCTATTATATTGTCCAGACTCTAAAATCTTAATATGTAGTATAGTATAGTCCCGTCCAGGTGATGTCTTTATACTACACTATCTAATAGATAATATATTATTGGTGTTTTTTCAATACTTGTCTTCACTCTAGCCTTATTTATATTTCATGTAACACTCTCTTCATTTTTCTTCATATTAATATTCCTCTTCAAATTTGACTATAGAAGATTTTTGGGCAAGTTAGAAGTTTAGAGTACTTGCCTCATCACTAAACACAAAAAACCTCGTGGGATAAAATCAAACTTAAAGAAAAAGGGTACAAGCATCTCATCCTAGAGATTAGCTAGTTATTTTATGAGCCTTAAGATCATGTTGAGGGATTCATAAGTTCTGCATCATGACCTAATACATGTGTTGCAAGGATGAACTCCACAACTTGCACACACTATCATCTTGGATCTCTTCTTTAGGCTGGTTTAGTCTCTCTTTTTTCTTGTGGTTTTTTGTCATCTTCAGGAGAACCACTAGCTTCTGCTTCAAAGAGTCTCCAAGTACATTTGGTATAAGCTGGAAATGGCGGGGAATGTTCTATACACTTGAATCCTTCTTTATGATGTGGAAAGGTGAGGAGTGACAGCTTCTTCAGTCTTGACACTTGAATTTCTACTTGGAATCGCCATCACAACTTTTTCCTTAAGCTTTATCAAAAAGTACTAGCACGTATACTATGGACTGATTCAAAGGTTCCCAGTTCCCAATCAGCATGACTCTTCACTTGATTATTCTTTAAGTAGTCTCTGAAGATAACTATTATAACTTCAAGTTGTTGCAATGATGTTGTTCCTCTAGCTTATGTAAAACCATGAAGTTACTTTAAGAATCTTTTCAATCTTGTTATCATTTTCCTAGAATCTTGAAATGTTGATTATTTTTTCATTCGTATTAAATTTTAAAATTGTAATATTGACAACTTACTAAACCGGCTAAAATTTAAATTTGAAAGCAAATGAGTTTATTTAACTTTTTGACTTTGATATTAGCAAGCTAAATTTTCTACATTTTTATGGATAAGAGTTTAAGAGCATGATTATCGATGGTGGGGGGGAGGTTCTTATGCATGGGTCCCACCACTTTTTGCAGAAACTGTCTCTTAACGTCCCTCAATAAGAAACAGTTTTCATGGGTATTTTGTACTGTTTGCGGATCCCATTGACATGTGGCGGCCTGCAACTGATTCATTTTTATTTTTATTTTTTTTAAATCAGATTTTTTTTTTAAGAACCCCCAAAAACATTTGCCGGATAATGATGCTCTAACCCTATCTCACTTAGTTATCTGACATCCTTAAGGTTAGTTTTGTTCATTCTCATTATATGTATAATCGGTTATCTAAATATCGAATGTGCTAACCAAATAACTGATATAACTTTTTTTATGGTTATAGAGTGCAATTATATTCTGAATTGTCTTTTGAAAAGGTATAGACTTTTTTATTTAACTTTTAATAGTTGTTTTTTTCAGGCATGTCTATATGATCCATGGCATGTCGCGTAAATTAATTATAGTTTACAGAGAGATGATGTCAGGTCTCAGAGTTAAACTCTCCATTTGAAAACCTCAAAGAAAAGAAAAAAAATCTTTAAAAGTGAAACCAGCATTCTTCACTCTGCTCCCTACGTGCCAAAGACTCCACTCATTTAAAGTGAAACGTCACCGTTCACGGCGAGACCATTTAAGCCAATGTGGTGCTTTTTCTGCAAGAAACCACCCTCCGGAGAGAAACGGAGTCCCGATGAAGTTTCTCCGGTAAACCTCCGCCGAGAAAGTAAGACGTATCATTTGCCTTCTTCTTCCTCCACCGCCGCGGATGTAGTCGACATCGGAGACAAGTTAGCTTCGGTTCAGATTCTATCAGCGAGAACGTGGCACCCTGGTGACTTCTCCTCCGGCTCTTCTTGCCGGCCGTTCGGGTTGAGTCTCCGTGCGCCTGAAGGATGGCCACCGTGGCTGATTACTGCTTGCGGCGAAGCCATCAAAGACTTGACTCCTCGACGAGCCACTACTTACGAGAAGCTTGAGAAGGTTTAAAGATTCGAAAACACTAATCACTAGAGCACAAAAAGATGTGAACCTTTTTGATCAGTTTATTTTGGTTAATTTTTTTTTTATGTGATGAATGTTACAATCTAGATTGGTCAAGGAACGTACAGCAATGTCTACAAGGCTAAGGATCTATTGACTGGAAAGATTGTAGCCTTGAAGAAAGTTAGGTTTGATAATTTCGAAGCAGAGAGTGTTAAGTTCATGGCCAGAGAGATTATTATGCTACGACGCCTAAATCATCCTAACGTTATAAAACTTGAAGGGTTAGTTACTTCAAGGGTTTCGTGCAGTCTCTACCTTGTTTTTGAGTATATGGAGCATGATCTCACTGGTCTTGCAGTAGCTCAAGGTGTCAAGTTTGATCTTTCTCAGGTTTTTGTCTTGTGCTTTTTTTTTTTTTTTTTACTAAGGTGTGTGTGATTAGGGCTGGGCAAATAAACCGAACCCGAAAACCCGAACCGAATCCGATCTGATAAAAATGAATCCGACCGATGCGAACCCGATTTAAATACCGAATAGATCTTGTTTTATGGTATTTCGGGTTATGGATATTATCCAAACCGAACCCGAAAATAAATGGATATCCGATAGAACCCGAAACATTCGAAATTTTTAATAAGAACGTGTACCGAACATGATCTTAATTCCTAATATATATCCAAAATATTTTAAAATATTACTAAATATCTAAAATAATTATCTATTACATGAAGGTTGATGGTTGAAGGTGGCGGTTGAAACTTGAAATTTTTAGATTAAGGTTTTGTTATTATTGAATAATGTTTCTCATTTTTTAAGAACTTGTTTTCGTTTTATGTTTTCATTTATTTGATTTTTTCTATTAATAACTATGTTTACCTTTAATTTGATTTTGAATGATCAAGTATGATGTTCCTTTCTTAATTTTGAATCAATTTTGCTTATGTTTTGGTTACAAAATAGTTTCACATTAGGTACTTTAAATCTGAAGAACCGATTTTACTTATGTTTTGGTTACAAAGTATGTACAAATCAAGTATTTTTAAACCAAAGAACCGATTGGGACCCGAATCTGAAAGTATAACGGGTTGTACCGATTCTTTAAAGATAAACTAACTCCGAACACGATAGAACCAGAACCGATCCCGAACCGAACTTTCAAATAATCCGAATGGGGCTGATTTTGATAAACCCGAAGAACTGAGACCCGATTGGAAAAAAACGAAACCCGAATGAGAAGCCATGCCTAGTGTAATGAACAAGTATTGACCAAGTTAATGTATAATATAAATGTCTTTTTGTTCTTCAGGTGAAATGCTTTATGAAGCAGCTCTTATCAGGGCTAGAGCATTGCCATCGTCAAGGAGTCTTACATCGGGATATGAAAGGTTCTAATTTGCTCATAGACAAGGATGGTATACTTAAGATTGCTGATTTTGGGTTGGCTACCTTTTATGACCCAAAAGTAAAGAAAACAATGACTAGTCGTGTTGTCACACTCTGGTACCGCCCTCCCGAGCTCCTTCTTGGAGCTACCAACTATGGCACTGCTGTTGATCTCTGGAGTGCTGGTTGTATCATGGCAGAGCTACTTTCTGGCAAGCCTGTTATGCCAGGTAGAACAGAGGTAAACCCAAAACCGTGTTTTTCTTGTTTTAATTAGTCTACTTGTAGTTTCTATCAGATGCATCTATGCATGTATTTGAGTTGCATTCTAGATATAAATTGATGCTTCTTGGTGAATCTTTGGAAACCAACTCCATGATCTTGGACCAATTCAATGCATAACAGCTGTCGTATACCGTTTTTCCTAACCTACTTTGTTCTTTGTTAGGTCGAACAACTTCATAACATTTTTAAATTCTGTGGCTCCCCATCAGATTTGTACTGGAAGAAGTACAAATTACCGAAGGCAACCCTTTTTAAGCCGAAACATCCGTACAAACGTCGTGTGGCGGAAGCATTCAGTGGATTTACTTCATCAACTGTACATCTAGTGGAGACACTTCTCGCTACAGATCCTGATGATCGAGGAACTTCTACCTCGGCCTTGAGTAGTGAAGTGAGTCATACTTACCCAATTGTTTGATATATATATATATATATATATATTATTTGATGTTATGCTGAAAGACATTTACGGATAGAAGACCTTTTTATTCGCTTTGTGTACAGTTCTTTACGAGTGAACCGTTAGCCTGTGATCCATCAAGTTTACCAAAGTATCCACCATCCAAAGAACTGAATTTAAAGCTAAGAGACCAAGAGGCAAGAAGGTATCTATCTATACATCTGCTTTTATGCGTTTTCTGGATGGACTTGCTATTAATTAAGATTGAGTGCTGTAATGGGTCTGGTCTCTTGGCATCTAGGGAAAAGGGTCTTTCTGGAAAAGCTAGTAGTGTTGAAGGAGCCAGAAGAATAAGGTATCGTGAAGATCGAACTGGGCGAGCTATTCCAGCTCCAGAAGTTAATGCTGAGATTCAAGCAAACTTAGATGTGAGAAATCCTCTTTTCATCGCATCCATACTTATACTAATGCACATACATAAATCTCTTCTTCATATGTATGAGCAAAGCTATAGGAAGATTGCACAGGATTTTGTTAGAGTAGTTAAAAATTGTGTATGTAACACTTTTATTAGTGGGGTTTGCAGAGATGGAGAGTGATACCACAAACACATGGAAAGAGCAAGAGCGAAAAGTTCCCGCCTCCTCACCAGGACGGTGCAGTTGGGCACCCAGTGGAAGAAGATCAGTCAAACAAAAGCTCAGTATTTGGTGCTCCTTTCGGGTCATCGAGATCAATGAGTAGAAATATTTCAAACAAAGAAAGGCCTCGTGGCTCTTCTTCTTCTAGAAAAAATATATGTGGCCTTAAACCTCCTCCACCGCTTTTGCTATCAGTAGACTTACTTTTCAGTAGCAGATCAGAAGTTTTTGGAATCCGGAGATGAAACGAGATATGAGTTGATGCGGTATATATACTAATGCATCAAAAAAATAAGAATGTAGAAGTTCAAGTAGTTTTAGAGTCCTACTTTTAATATTGTATAGTTGTTGAAAATGGGTTTTGAGGCTTCAAACATTGGGTGTTCCAAAGATTTTGACTTCTGCTTTACTGCACTTGTTTGATTGAATTTGTACGATGAGACTATCCGATTGGTGTGTAGACTTGGGCTTTATGGTTTGAAAGCCAAAAGTTTGTCAACTTCTTTTTGCTTTAAAAAATCATATTGTTTTTGTGACTAAAAAACTCATTTTGTTTTGTCAACATTTATATTTTATAAAGTCAGAGGGAGAGCCTTTAAAAATACTTTAAAATTTTAAAAGTAATTTCTTAAAGAGTTATTTTCACTCTAAGGCAGTTTCAAGTTTTTTATTGAGAGAATAACAATTTGGGTCACTTTTTGACTTTGCCCAACAGAATAAGACACATTGGGCTACTGGGGCACATTATCGATGCCAAAAGACCAGCTTGCCCCTCATTTGGATAACGAGATGGGTTTTAGTCAGATAGTTTAGTTAGGTTTTTTTTTGGGTTTGAATTTCAAAAGCTGGAACCTTTTATTCCTCGTGTTTGCTCCATTTGACCTTTTTTGTCGTTTCAACTACTTTCCCCTAACTTTGGTTTTATCGCCGCATAAACTTGGAGAGCAAAACGCGGAGGTGACGATTTCAGATTTGTGAAGATGTCGACAAGAAAAAGAAGACAAGGAAAAGACCCGATATCCGGTGAGTCGTGTTCATTTTGAGAGTATATTTCTTGGGTTTTGGTTATAATTGTTAGATCTGAAAATCATCATTTACGGTCTGTTGTTTTGAGTAATGTTTCTGACGATTCACTAATATTATAACAGAGGAGGAAAACCCCGTTAGCCTGCCGGATGAGAGGCTGCCTCCTAGGTTATTTGCTACGGACCAATACCCTAGCCGGAGGCTCAATGTCTACTCTTCGCTAGAGCTACTGTTGGTGGTGAGAGATGTTTTAAGGGGAACTCCTGAGATGGAGAAGCTTCTTAGGTCTTGTTTTGGGAATTTATACAAGTTACCCGTTCGCCGGTGCAGCTACTCGTCGGTTATGGTCCACGCGATGCTATCACGTCAGGTAGTTACGAAGAAGAAGTATGAAGTGTGGCCAGTTTTTGGTGGTAATCCATTCAGATTTTCGTTGGTTGAATTTGGGAATGTGACGGGTTTGCCATGTGGGGAGTTTGAGAGATGGTTATGTTGTAGATTTCCAGCCCAATTACAAGGAGGAAGACTATTTGTACTGGGATAAGTAGTTTGGAGGTAGACGTGACATTACAATCCCTGATGTTGTGAAGATGGTAACTGAAGACAGGACACTGTCAGTTAGCAGGAGATTCAGGTTGTGTTTGATAATACTTGTTGATGGTGTACTTATAGCATCTACCCAACCAGCGAGGCCAACTGTGAAGCATGTGAAGTTGGTTGAGAATCTTAGGAGTTTCTTTTCTTTTCAGTGGGGGCGCGAATCGTTTTACTGGACGGTGAATACAATGATACCTGGGAAGAAGATACTTGGGAAATGTGAGGATCCAGAGGCTGATTTTTGTGTGAAGCTGAGGCAGAAAACAAAGAAAATGTCGGGTTTGCCTTTGGCTCTACAATTGGTTGCTTATGAAGGGATCCCACAGTTGTTGGCCAGGTTGGGAGGGAATGATGATCTAAAGATCTTAGATTGTGAGAGATTACCACAGCACACTGGGCTAAATCTTGTTGATGTTTTGGAGGCCGAGCATGACCATCAGGTAGAAATTATTACTTTTCAAAAGTGCGTACACGTGTACAGCTGCTACCGTTGAAAAAAACCAATACCTGTGTACACTATAAACCTATTGTTTTGTTTGCATATGTGCAGTTAATTGTGCAGCCGCGGATGGATGTTGGGGAGGACAAACCTGATGGGTGGGGTGAATGGGATGATGAGATATTTGACCGCAGAGTGAGCTACATGGTGTCGCTTATTGACGCTGGTCACAAGTTCAAGAAGTCTGATTGGGGTGGAGGGGACGGTGGAGAGCCTGTGTACAACCACGAGGTGCAGAAGGCAGCTAAGAAAAGGAAGAGGGATATGGCGCAGACGAGGAAAGCTGGTCAATGCTGTCCTGTTATGAAGCAAAAAAGAGTGAGCCAGTACTATGTTCGTGAAGAGGCTGTTGATAATGAAAGAATCATGAAGTTGGAAACCCGTGTAGGAGAGATGGAGAAATCTTTTGCTTGGATGAAGAAGAAGTTATTACGGCGCAAGAGGAGTGGAGTTACGCCCAAGAAGGGTGTGTTATACAGTGGAGAATCCAAGAAGAAAAAGAAGATTGTGCAGATGCCAACGGTTAGTGGTTTTCATGTTGGTGACAATGAAGTTTGTGATGACGATTTCGTTGGTAAGAGCTCATCAGATCGCGGAAGGGATGTTGGAGAAGCTGGTGATAATAGTGATATTCCAGGGGATGGGAAGCTGGTGCCAGGCAGTGGTGTGTCGGATGTAGTTGTTGAGCCTGTGGAGGACTTTAGAGATGCTAAGAGTGATGGTGATAGTTTGATGGGAGAACCGGAAGCTGATGATAATGGTGAGTCAAATGAGATGGAGGGTTTGGAATTAGACGATGATGATAGTTACTCTGAGCCACCTGAAGAAATGCTTGTACCCTTGAAAGAAGGCGATGGTGTACCGCTGCAGTGGGTGGAGAAAAGTTTGAAGGGTCACGGTGGAGCTGTACTCTATAGAGCCACAACAAGCAAAACGTTTTATGTAACTGAGGATGATGTAAGTATTTTGTTTTAACATTTATTTCGATTTGTTTGCAAAGTCTTCATTTGTTGTTTGTATTATGTTTTTGTGCAGGGGAGTACAAGTGTTGGAGACGAGGTGAAGAAGTGTGGCATTAGCATAAATGAGAAGGTGATTTGAGTTTTTTGGATGCTTAGTATACATTGTTGTAAGGTTTGATTTGATTTTTTTGGGGGGTGCTCAGGTCAGCAGTGGTGGGGAGGAGACTGCAAATTCGTTAGTATCAAAAAGCATGGCGGAAGAGAGTGAAGTGAACATGGTTTGTTTTTTGGTTTGTTCCTTTTTTTTTTTTTAATTGCTTTTCTGTCTGTTTTGTTTTATAAATTTCATATGTGGGTAGCAGGATTTAGGTGGGCTGAACAAATTGGTGGGTGCACTTGTTAAGGAGCATGGGAGTAAGTTTGGTGACTCTAAGGGTGGCCAAGGGATTGGGCATGTTAGTGAGGTAAGGATGCTGGTGTTAAGGTTTTTTTTAACTTGTACGAGTAACATCTGCTGTACGAGTGTACAAGTGGTTTATGTTGTATACGCAAATATGAGTCTAGTTGTACGCGTGGACGAATAGTAGATTGTAATGTACGATTAAAGTGCCCGGATTGATGATTAAGGTTTTAAGGGTTTGGTATTTGTCCACAGCTGACGGGTGAAGCAGCTGATGAAGATGTTGAGGCTGATGTAGCTGATAGGGCTGGTGCGGCGGTTGAAGAACAGGAGTTAGATGGAAAAGTATCTCAGTCCACACCACGCCGCTCTGATATGAGTGGTGTGGGGGGTGAAGGTGTGGGGTCTGATAAGGTAATCTGTATAAGTGGAACGTGTTTTGAAGAAATGTACTTGTTCTTGTTTTTTTGGTTTAATTTTGTTCTGTGGTGTTTTTGAAATCCAGGTTGATGCATCCGTTTCTGGGGAGGTGAGGACTGTTGATGAGTCGCATATAAGTGGGAAAGAAATGGTTACCTATGTGAGTGACTCATCCCCGTGTCCAAGGAGCAAGAAGCACAGGCCAATCGAGTCAGAAGCAGACTTGGCGGCTCTGTTATTGGCGAAAGCCCCATATAGCTTAGAACAGATTGTGCCAGCTGAGGAGGATGTTGATTTTTGCTATTTCAAGCAGGTGTTGCAAGGAAACCCGAAAGTGTAAGTAATAACATTTGAGAATGGTTGATGTTTAATGATGTTGTACTAAAACCTTGTAATTTTTTTGTGCAGGTTGCATCTGGGGGCAGGAAAATATGATTTGGATAATGAATTTTTCCTGGAGTTGGCAACACCGAGAAAATGGGTGTCAAGCAAGGTATGGTATAGGTAGCTTAAATGGCTTACATTACGTTTTGGTTATTTGTAATTTTTTTTCTGTGTTGTGGCAGCATATGGAAGTGCTGGTGGACTATATCAGTGAGAAGCATGCTGATGTGTTGAAGGAGAACAGAGCAATGTTTGTATCACCTTGGTTTATCTCACAGCTGGGTGGTAAATCGCGGGCGTTTAAGGCAGCCACATATAAGGGGCGAGTTTTTTCAGACCCGAAGCTTGCTGGTTATTTAACTGAAGAAGGGAAGAAACTTGGGGTGGACATAGACTGGGTGTACACGCCTATGTTCTGGGGGACCAATCATTGGGTTGGGTTGCGCATTAGTATTACCGAGTGGAGTGTGCTTGTCTATGATCCAGACCGAAGTCTCAGAGAACTGGATGATGTCATGGAGTTAATGACACCAATAGCTCAGATGATACCTTACATAGTAAGGAAAGCCTGCCCCGCTGAGTATCTGCAAGGGAATGGTGTTGTACCTTTTGGTGTTCAGTTGATGGCTGATGGTTACCAGAACACACGCAGTGGTGATTGTGGGCCTGTGGCTATGAAGTTCTTAGAGTTGGCTGCAACAGGTGTTGAGGAACCAGATGTGGAGGACATCACTGATGAGTTGGTTGACATTTTCAGGAAACACTATGCTATGCATGTGTACAAGGATTGGGTTGTACCGTTGTACATGGGATGAACTAGTAGGGTTGTACATGTGTTGTTTTTTGTTTTTTGTGATCTTGGTTGTTTCGGGGGCAGGGTTTGTACTATTTTCTGTTGGTCTTGACTAGTACTATTTGCTGAAGTTGTTTTAACGGCGAGGTGGTTTTTCATTTACT